TCTCTCTCTCTCTCTCTCTCTCTCTCTCTCTCTCTCTGTCTGTTTCATTCTTTCCCTCTGGTGTGGAGAAATATGCTGCTTAATCGATGTTCAGCCCATTTTTTTCAATCTCATGGATTGGTTCTCCTTAGCTTTGATCTGGTGCCGCAATAAAGGGCCTCTTTGAAGTTGACTTAGAAATCCACCACATCCGAGTAGCATTGCCATTGATCCACACCCCCACCCCTGTTTGTTGCATGCACCGTGCGTTTGGTTCAAAGCTTTCGCTTGTGCAACATGGCGGCTGTGTACAGAAGTTTTGAAGGAACTGTAAGGTCTCCGACTGTGTGCTGTAAACACGTTGTATAGAGCTACTGACGAAGAACATTAAACACAAATGGTGCACAAAAAGAAAAATTAATGTCTCTTTTATGGTCGTGCTCATGCACAAGATATTTAATCCGTGCTGCTGTTTATCTTAAATTATTGAAGGGTCTGCCCCTGTATGAAATGATCATTTTATTAATTAACTAGTTTCTAAAAGATTAAAGCACATTCATGTCTCAGAGCAACATGCAGCTGTTTGATTTCACGCTAATTGCAAAGACAGTCTACTGCAGCTGGATCAAGCATACAGTAGAGATAAAGCAGCAGTTTATGGAGAACCTCCAGACTCTGGACCATTTCATACTAGAGCTAATGTAGATGTGAGTCTGTGGGATGTCAAATTTTGATTGGTATGGCTGGTGTGAATGTTGGTGTGAACTGTGTGGTTCCTTCATGCAGATATGCTATAAAATATCTGTCTATCTATCTATCTATCTATCTATCTATCTATCTATCTATCTATCTATCTATCTATCTATCTATCTATCTATCTATCGTTCTATCGTTCTAACGTTCTATCGTTCTATCGTTCAAACACTATCTGTCTATCTGTCTGTCTGTCTGTCTGTCTGTCTATCTATCTATCGTTCTATCGTGCTGTCGTTCAAACACTATCTATCTATCGTTCTATCTATCGTTCTATCTATCTATCTATC